ACTTACGGTCTCCAGACCGGAACCCGAGAGGGGCTGTGCTCTGAAATGCCACATTGGTGCCATCATCCTCAAAGACTTCTTTGAGGAAGGTCGGGGCTGCAGCAAATGCCACCGTCTTCAAGAAGGCCCCAACCTGCTCGTACTCGCTGCCCAGCATCGGTCTGCGGTGGTACGGCACCTTCCCCCCGTACTTCTGCACCGTCACGTCCCGGTGATACACCGGCGTCGGCAGCGGACCCACCACGTACTCGGTGACGTTGGGCTCCGGCTGGTTCCCAAAGTACAGCACAGCCAGCGCCTCCCGGGGGGGGCGAGCCCCCGCCCCGTCCAGGAACCGCAGCACCTCTGCCTTGGCGGGGACCTGCAGCTCCACGGAGGCGATGCAGCTGTCGGAGGGTTCTGCCCGCGAGGCGTCGACCAGCCGCACCCCGAGGCTTCCCCGCAGGTACCGCACCACCTGCGCCAGCTCTGCGGGCGTCAGATCCGCAAAGACCAGGCTCTGGCTCGTGGATCCTGCCTTCTCCACGATGCGGGGCTGGGACTCACAGCTGGGTGACTGCCTCCCCCTGCTCAGTAACACGCAGGAGAGAACGAAGATTATCACCGCAGCCCCGACCAGGAGAACGTAGGAGAGTCTGGGGTTCATCTCTGCGAGTGCCGAGACCGCGCGTGCGGTTCGGCTGCAGCATCCAGGACACGTCCCTCTCCTGCAGCCCCGACTCTTAACTCGTTTGCCGACTGTGGGCGTAGAGGCGTCGCTTGCGAGGCGGGGAGGGAGCCTGGAGCTCGCACGGGTCTCAGAGATCACAGGGCCTGGCCAGTTCAGCCTGTTTCCTCGCCACCCCAGACACCCCGAGGACGGCAGCTGGGGAGCCGGTGTCTGACTCACTGCCCAAGCTACCGATGGGTTTCTCTGCTCCAGGGTGACACCACAAAGCCCCGGCCTCGCGCTGCCCAAGGGCCTTTGCTTCTCCCAGGACACCCCGTCCCAGCTAGGGGGAGCACGGCGATGCCACAGGAGTGGGCCCAGCCAGCCCGGTCCGTCCGCATGCCGGTGCCCTGGGACCAGCCCCGCTCCCGGGAAGGGCTGGCCCGGGCTGGCTCCCCAGGAGAGCTCAAGAGCCGCCAGGTCCCCAGCACCTCCACATGCTGCTTCTCCCTGTCGCCATTCTGTCACCTCCAAGTCCCTCCCGACCCCAAGAGAAGCGACCTGGCAGCTTCAGCCTGTCTCCAGCTGTGGGCAGACTAGCCAAGAGAGGAGGAAGCTCTCGCTGAGAACAGGCAGCACCCGCCGAACCCCTGGCAGCAACTGCGAGTGACGGGCAGGACGCGCGGAGGCTGCAGGATGACAAAGGGGACACATCTGTCCCCACTTGGCCACCCCAACCCCACTCCAGCAGACACGATCCTTGGACCAGGGCTGCCACGCACCGGAACAGTTACTGTCAGGAAACCGTGCGCAGTCCAGACGGCTCGAGAGACCTTCCCTGGCGAGCCGAGCAGCGAGCAGGAGGCCAGGGCACCGGGGACCCCCACCGTGGTGTAAGGCAGCTGCTCCCCTCGCGTCCAGCCCCGCGCCGAGGCCGGCTGACGGAGATCCGGCCCACTTCACGCCCTCCTGGTGGGGACGGTCTGAGGCACAGGCAGGAGGGGCTGGGCAGGGGCCGAAACCACTACGGCACTGGGTCAACGTGCCACTCCTGTGATCGCGTTCATTTCGGAACGTACATCCTCATCCTCGCTTCCAGCCAGGGATTAACCGCCCTTTTTCCCTGCCGGGCCCACACCAGCCTCAGATCAGGATCCGAGAAACCTGCGTGGGAGATGACCCACCGCTGCAGTCCCGCCGCGCCTGCGCTCGGGAGGTGGGGATCGTCCACCCTGCACGGCCCCGAGGCCGCTGCTCGGGCAGGGCTGCCCTCCCTCCCCAAGGGCAAGAGGCTGGGCTTTTCCATAACTCTTCCCGAGAGTGCTTCGCAGCAGGCAGAGCTCAGACGCCGTAAACAGCGCAGGGAACTGAGGGGCATGGCAGCCACAGCGCAGGACCCTGCCGCCACACACAGCCGTACTCTGGCGGGGCTTGAGCCTTGCTTACCGGGAGGGCACCAGTATCGGCCCTGGCTTTGACTGAGATGACAGCAGCAGCAGCTTTCGGGGCCACACAAACCCCTGCAGCGCAGCAGGTCCAGCAGCAGACACACACCAGGACCGAAGGCTCACACGGGGTCAGCGGAGCTCGACACCCCCGGGTCCCCGGTGACTCCCCACGGCCCAGGACACGGCACGGCGACTGCAGCTGCGTTTCTCCGCGGGCCGGTACAGATGCAGTCCACTGCCTACCAGCGGTCTCTCTGGTCCCATGCAGATGTAAAACCCTTTTCCCCTACCTCTACAGGAGCAGGTTCGGTGACAGGCACCTCCTGCTGCCGTCTGCCCCCAGCACCCACCACCCTGCACCCCCCGGCTGCAGCTGCCGGAATGGCTTTAAGGGAAGCGAAGCCGCCCTCGGGCTGAGCATCCCGGTGCCTCCCAGGGCGGGTGCCCGCACTTCCCTGCGCAGCCTGCCAGACGGAGCAGCAAAGGGCTGGACTCGAGTAACCCTCGGCAGGGATCCGCCGCCAAAAACCGTGACTTTGAGCAGGCGCAGGGGAATTCATTGGCTCGCTGCAGCGGCTTTGCAGCCCGAGACTCAGGATCCAACTTACAAGCGTTTCCTCAAAAGAGGAGCAGGGATAGAGCTGCGCAGGCTCGGCCCTGCAGAGCCCCAGTCCAGCTTTACACCGGGCAGTTGGGACACAGACAGGGCTTGCCCGAGTTCGGAGGAGCTGGGGACCACAGGGACCAGCAGCAGGCGCAGGCAGCGCAGGCTCACACCTTCAGTGCTCAGACAGCGCCGTGTCTCCCCGTCCGCCGGGCCATGCCTATGGCAACACGCACCCTGCCAGACATGAGGCCTCAAGGAAACACAAACATTTTTCAGCTGCTACTTTCATACTTTCCCTGGGCTGAACACAGAGCTCCCAGACAATTCTCACCGCCTTCAACTCCCTGACCTTGACTGACTAGTTTATACTCAGAAAAAGAATTTTGCAGTGAAAGAAGAGATTAGAAGAGGGAAAAAGCAGAGTTCTGATGTCAGTTACCAGGGACTCTGCAGAGCGGGGACCAATCGACCCAAAGCTCTGGGGTTTCCAGCCTAACAGCCAACACTAAATGAAGAGCCAGACCTACCTCCCACGTCCAAGTCCACTTTATAGTTGACGGAATGGGTGTGTATGGTACCCAGCGTGTGCTCCCAGACCCTGCTGCCGTATCTCAGGCCATCCCCGTGGAGAAAGGACGAGGTCACGTACCCCGTGGCCTGGACCTTGCCCTCGATGGCCCCGTTCTGGTAGAAGATGAAGTCCCACACGTAGTCGTAGTTGCCCACGGTGGCGATGGAGCGAACCACCAGAGCGGAGTTCACCAGCCCCCCGTAGTAGAGCGACTGCAAGTTGGAGTAGTGGCGCCTCAGAGGGGAGCCCAGGTTCTGCTCAAAGATGCAGAGGGCACTTTTACTGACTTGGGAGACCTGGGAATGAGCCAGGTAGTGCACGTCCAGGTACGTTGCTAAGTAGGGGCAGTCGACCCCTCGCACCAGGGGGGAGGCGTAGCGCCCGATGCCAAAGCTCCCGTCCATGTACCGCGTCGACATCCCTCCGGGGCAGTTGGAGCCGTACACCGACAGCGCCTCTTGGACGCTGATTTCATAGGCCACCCTCTCCCCCTTGTGTCGGACGTCAAACAGGCGCAGGCCCCTGTGCACGCTCATCCCAAAGGCGAAGCTCCAGCCCTGGAAGAGGACGTGGTTGTTCCTGACGCTGTAGCGGGGGCCCTGCGGCTCGAACTGCAGCGGGAACAGCGCGGCCGCAGGCGCCCGGGGCTTCATGGACGAGAAGTCCCCGTCCCGCGGCGCCTTCCCCACCTTCTCCACGCTGATGCGACCCTGCACGTAGGCGCTCTCCAGCTGCTCCATGGCCCTGTAGTACCGGCCATTGTAGAAGACCCTGCTCACCGCCCACTGGGACGTGTCCAGGCTGCTGTGGTCCACCAGCACCTCCAGCCCCACCGGGTGCACAAAGAACCCGCTCACATTCTGAAACATGATGAACCAGGACTTACGGTCTCCAGACCGGAACCCGAGAGGGGCTGTGCTCTGAAATGCCACATTGGTGCCATCATCC